TGATAATTAGATTTGCTATGATTCACCAATATATTGATTGGAATTAATATATGAAAAAATATATTCCTCATAAGGTTAGAAAAGAACTTTCGAGATTATTTATGTCGTTTCTTCTCGAATCTGTAATTGTAAGAAATGCGTATCGTGTCAGTCATATGTGACAGAAATATCTCATTGGTTATACATAAAAATATGGAAGGTATAATCAAAGGATATGTTTGCAAAGTACTTAAATTAATATACTTACAGTTTATTTGATCTTGTTTTTTATTTGGCAGATAAATTAATGTCTATTTTTCTCCTCCGAGAACCGCACATATGTCTTCTTAATTATTTAATCTTTAAACGTCAAAGCAAAAAAGAAAAGCTACTGATTATATGAATTTGAAACGTTCGTTTATCGCCCTCCAGACAGTGGTTATATTTTCTGTACACTTCCTTGTCTCAATTTAGACTATTTCACTTCAAAACATATAAAAATGTTATTTAAAGTCATATCTTTATATACAAACAACAATATATTAGACGTTTTCAATGTTTTAATCAGGAGTCGTTAGAACATATATCGATACTTTTTGTTGTTGTTTCCGAATAATATTTATCGCAACTTTAAATACATGACTGTATGTGTGTACCGTCAAAAAAACAAATATATATATAGATGTAATATTTAATTTAAAGATATAAAAATATGTAATACTTTGATACAATTTATTGTATAAATCATATATAAGGTACATATATATGATATATCACAAACTCATCAGTACAAGGCAAAATGATTTTATCTTTTTCTCTTAATTATTATTAGATAAATCTTTGGTATATTAAACAGATATAAAAAAGAAATAAATAAATATTTTCTTCTTTTCTTAAGACAATTACTAACTATTGTATATATGATATATTATTGTATAATAATTGTCGTAATTAATTTAAATCGTTGTAATATAGTTATACAGACATATTTAACAGAAGAAGAAATTTTGCTAATATCTATTTAAATATAACAAAATTTGTATATTATTTCGATAAATGCTATATTATCTATTTATAATTTCCATTTTTTATATTCAATTTATTTTTTACGTTCTGGAATAATTATATATTTCTGTATATTTATCGTTATCTATATATTTACATATATTTCTTTTTTTTCTATAATATAAGAGTTAATAATTAAAATATGTATTATCCAGGCTTCTGTGTGGAGCCTTGAGAGAAGAGACACAGGTAATATACGTTTATTTTGATAACAACAGGAAAGGATTAGGATTTGATTAAATTTAAGTATTTTTAAAAATATAATTTGATAAATATACATAATGAATTATGTTCATCACACATAAGCATCGTTACGCATTATCAGTTTATACGAAACGAAACGAATCGACAAATATTATCTCGGTATTCTTATTTGTGTTACATATAATAGATTTCTAGAACTTTAACAATATCTACAAGAGTTGCGACGCTAAACAAATTTTTTGCAATTACTGTTCTAAGAACACGTCGATATTATACAATGCAATAAATTTATTCATAAAGAAGATGTAAAATTCAAACATTTTGCACAATATATGATCTTATGCGGATCATGACAATGTGTAGAAAATATGTGTGGCGGTCAACTCAAACTTTCGACTACGAGTTTTAAATGACTGTGAATTACTTGATGAGTTAAAAACATTATTAGGAAAGGCTTCCATAAAACAATATGAAAGAAATTTTATGTTAAAAGTTAAATATACCTGTGGAAGTAATCAATTGATTGTTTACTAATCGTGAGTAAAAAATGGTCACCTAAAATTCTTCGGACTGTTTGTAAGATTTTTCGTTTAAGAGTTCAACTTTTTTTTAAACGACTTTAACTTTTTATACAAATCGATTTCTCGTAATATTCGATATTGAAATTTTCGAGATATTTTATATTTGAATTTGACATAATTTTACATAATACAATATTATATAAAATATTTTATAAAATACTAACTTTTCGACGACTCTACAACATACTTTTATACATAAAATAATAAGAGGAATCAATTGATGTGAAGAAAATGTATAATTGTTTTTAAAAAATAATAATTTGCAACTAGCAACTCTACATATAATTTTTTTCTGTGATTTCAATATATATTCTGTTAATTAAGAATAGAATGAATCATTCTGCATAATAAACCATTATATATATTTTGTTGCTTAAAGATTTTACGGTCTCATAATTACGTCAAACTATGAAATCAAAAATGAATAAAATTATTGAATTTTTTTTGTAAAATATATCAAAAAATATTAATATTTTTTTATATTCTATCCTACTTTAAGAATATGAGCGATGTTGCGCTGCAATAATATATATATATACAAAATACTTTTTCAATTTGTAAATTAATTAATATAGGATGCTTTATGATTGAAATATAATGCAATTGAGACCATAGATGAAGAAAGGCACATAGGCTTATGTGTGCCTCTTTTCCATAAATCATCTAACTTCTTCCAGATATGTTTTATATATGCATACAAAAGACATATTATTTCTCTAATGTAACAATTTTATATAATAAATAATATAATAAATATATATATATATATATATATATATATATATATATGTATGTATATATACTTTATATGTATTATACTTTAATGACACCATTTATACATATATTTTATATATAAATAAAATTGCGAAATTAAACATATGATTTAAAACGACAATAAGAGAACTGATTTATGATATTAAAAATAATATATTATTATTAAATTGAATTATGTTTAAGCACGCACACATAAGTTTTTCTTCTTATGAATACTGAAAAAATTTGACATTGTATTTTATATTTCAATCAAGACTTCGAGATGATATATATGTATTCCAAGACGAAATCAGTCAGTAAGTAAAACACAAAAGTGTACAGGACATATAAAACTGTTTGTGTGCGACGAACGTTTCAAATTCTTATTATTAGGCCTTCCTTTATTGTGTCTACGTTACAAAGATTTAATAGAGTTAAAGTGTATAGAGTCATATATGTGGTGCTTTAAAAGAAACAGTTGAGACAAGTTAACTTATAATTGAAAATAAACTCATATAACAAAAACTAAAGACAATATGTAAGTATATGAATTTAAATACTTATTTTGTATACATTTATCCATTTGATAACGTATGAGACGAGATATTTTTGTCACATATAATATATAAATGACACATTACGCATTTTTAACATTTACAGGACGAGAAGAAACGATAAATATAATCTTTAAATGTTCCCTTACTTTACAAGAATATATTTTTCATATATTGATTCTAATAACAGTGTTTGTAAGAGATACGCAAATTTAATTATCAATTCTGTATTATTGAACGCTACTTCAGTTCTAAGAAGAAAGGATATTTTATTGATAAAAGGATGATAAATTTTAAAATTTCCGCACCGGGCAGAATCGTCTTATCCGGAGAGCATTCGGCGACGTATGGAAGATATTTTGTTATGGCCGGTTTAGATCATCGTACCAATCTCGAATTCTGTGAACTACCTGTGGCAGAAAGAATTATTAAGCTAGAATTCCCTCGTGTCAATCTACAATGCAATATATCTTTAGTAACAGTTGAACATTATTTTTTTCATAGAAATGTTTCGAATATTCAGTCAAATCCAGTCGAGTTTCTTAAATTCGTGAAATTCTTTATAGACTGGGCTCGTATGTGGAAGACATGCGAGCAGCGATTTAGCTTACAAATATTTTTCTACCTGCTTTGTTTGATGACCAACAATCTCGAGAGAAGACCTTTTCACGTGTGCGTAACCACTGAAATTCCTTTTGGATCTGGTCTTGGAAGTTCGACATCGTTCGCTGTATGTTTGGCAGCGTGTTTTCTTCATTGGGAGCGTCGACAGAAAGGTTATCATATTGCATTTAATAATCGGGAATTAGAAGTAATTGAACGTTACACCAAATCCTGCGAAGAAATTATGCAAGACAATACGTTCACATTGATCGATGCCAAACTTTGCGTACGCGGCGGAATAAAAAAATGTCGACGTACGAGTTATAAAACTTATTTTACGGAGACTATCGATTTCGTATCAGGACTAAGGATTTTATTGATTAATACAAATATTCCCAAAATAAAGAACAACAAGCACAACAAATGATTGATCTGCGACGTAGAAATCCGATCTATTTCAATTGTTTATTAGATAGATTAGACACAATAGCAACACAAATATGGGATAAGCTTCATTGTATTTGTAATAATTTTATAGATCGCCGATTAATTCAGGATTTTTATCGTCAGTTAGAGGTATTTTTTCGTTTTTATTTAAGAATAATAATATTTTTATTACGCATATTCTTTAGCTTTGCTGCATTGATAAAATTCGTACTCTCCCATACAGCACCGTTAGATTGCAAAAACATTACAACAATCTTTCACCGCAATATTGCAATATTGCAAATTCACTGTAAAATGTTGCTACATCATTGCTGTTGAATTGCAGCAATGTTAAAATGTCCGCTTTTTGGAAGATAATAAAATTATTGATTATCGTTAACATCTTTTATTGTACAATATTGCAAAAATTATTTTATTACAGTATTATACCCAGCAAATACCAAGTTACAGTTATATAATTGTTAGTTGTAATTTTCCACTCAACAACATAATTGTTATAATACACGTATTATATTTTTGAGTGGAAAATTACAACTAACAATTATATAGCTGTAATTTGGTGTTTGCTGGGTATATGTATATATATTACAATATATAAATTATAGAATTTGGATTACATGCAATATTTCCGAAATATTAATGTCATGTTGCTACAAGTGTGCTGGAATTTTGTGCACCTATATCTCTGCAATGTCTTTATAATGTTGCATTGCAACTTGCAACATTGCAACGTTGCTGCAATATAATTGCAATAATCTGTGCTGTATGGGCTTGTACAAAATTACCTGCTAGAAACTGTACCGTTTTAAAACTAACATTTTTCGTATTTTGCAGACAGACATTATGTGGAATCAGCAATTATTAAAGGATAATGATTTGTCGCTTCCAAAATTCAATGAAGTTTGCTCAATTGCAAATAAATTTGGATTAAAAGGAAAGCTTACAGGTTTTACAGGGGGATACGTATACATTCTTCTATCACCAAAGGTTACAGACGAAACAATCAATAAAATTAAGGCACAATTCTTGAAGCAACGTATCGATTGCATATCTTCCACCTTTGATATCGATGGAGTGAAAATTGATTGAATAATTCTACTCTAAAATTATAGCGACTCCATACAACAAGATTGCAGCAGTATTGTGGCAACATTTCACTGCAATATTACAGCATTGCATAAACATTGTGAAATATTGCAGCAATTTTGCTGCAAAGTTGCAGCAACGATAAAATGTCCGCTTTCAGAAATATATATTTGCAGCAATAATGCAATAAAATATATATGTAATATTACTATTGGATTATTGGAAATGTGCCAAATACATGATCGGACTGAATGTTTTGTACCTAATATTTTTTGCGTGAATTTTATTTTTATAATATTTCTGAAATATTACTGCAACATTGTTTAAACAATATTGCAAATTTATGCCTATATAATAATTCTGCAATATTGCTATGGAATGTACAATATTGCAATGTTGTTGCAATATTGCTGCAAACTTGTGTGCTGTATGGGACGTTATATAAATAATTAAATAATAACAACTAACTAAATATAAAAATAGGGCAAAATTATTTTAATATCTGTATTATTTTAAGAAAAGAAGACGAACAACATTTTTGTTTAATATATATTTTCTATTCTTTAAAGATAGCTTATTGTTTAAAGATAGCTTATTGTTTAAAGATAGGTCTCTTAATGACGTCGTATTGAATTATGAAATAAAAGGTGAGAAATCATTACAAGAATATTGGTAATCTTTTTGTAAAATATATCAAGAAATATTAGCTTTTTTCGTATTCTATCCTATTCTATTTTAATAATGTAATGTATAAAATTGCATCATTACATGCGCTGCAATAGAATAAGCAGAAGACTTTTTTAATTTATAATCTAATTTATAATTGTAATTTTTTATATATAATGCTTCATAATTATATACTGCAATTTGAATGACAAGTAAGTCAGACAGTTTTGAATTATATTTTTTCTGCGATTTTTATGAAAGAAAATTATAAAATGAAATATATAATCAGCGTTACTCATTAGTAGGGCATTCATCTGTTAACTACGAGGTTCATACTTACATACTATCCGACGCATGTCTTATAGATGTATACTTATATAAAAAATTCAACTGATGTATTTATTTTTTTTTAATAATTTTCCTTTGTTAAACATACAGAAAGAATAGTTAAAAATTTTGAATTTTTTATTAACATAATAACGTTATATATAATTCATGAACGCAAATTATAAAACATGTGTATCTGTAATTTATTATTACATGTTCTACTTTCGAAAGTATAAAGAGATAATTAAATAAGTTACATACATTTATTTTGGAAATATTAAGTAATATTTTTGGTATATATTTTTAATACAATTGAAAAAGAGTGCTATATGCAAAGAATAATTTCTTTCTTTGCATATACTTTTTAATTCAACATATATTTCCACTTTTAATTTTATTATTCAACGTAACTTGAATAAAAAACTAAAACAGATATAAGGAGATTGCTAATAAAAAGATAATAAAATATTTTGTCGATTTAATATATGTATTATATTATTATTTAGAAAGATGACAACAAAGTTTTCCTTTGTGCTATCAATGCCTATATAAAAATAATTATATTACAGCGACGTAAATTAATGATTACAATTATTATATTAGATTTTTATTGTGTTATATTAGACATTGCCTAAAATAATAAGACATGTATGTATTTCTATTCCATTTTCTATATCTTCAGTTTTATATACTAAAGATTTATCTATTTATAAAATAATTAAGAAATAGAAATGATATATTTTTACTTCAGTACTCTCGAACCGAAATTTGTGATCAGGTTAATCATTAAGCCGAAATAAGCTCGCATTGATATGTGTAAAATAAGAAATATTGCGATATATTCATCTTTTATATCAAAATTATTTAATTTATATATAATTATATTAAACAATATAATTTGATATATAAATACTACACATAGTATGGTATATTCCAATTATGTACTGATTGACGGAAAAGTATGTATTTATTGGAATATATATTGTATTTTTATATATATTGCCTAATATTGACATGTAATATTTTGTACATTGTGTATCAGTGCAAATAAAATATTGATAATATTTCTGATTATTAATATATTTTATCATTTTCTAATTTTGTATAAGGTTTCAATTTTCAGTAGTTTAAATATATATTGGTCAGGCATGTGTGTATGGGGCTTTGAAGGAAGAAACAGAGACAATTTATGGCTATTTTCATAATAATATCAAAGAACAAAATATTTATCGAATTTAATTATTTTTATAAATATAAATTCGATAACATTCATTTGACGAATTATTTCTCTCACACATAAATGACGTTACGCATCATCGACTTATACAAAACAAAAAGGATCATCGACGAATATTATCTGCATATTCCTATTTACGTTACACACAAATACATGTTTAGAATTAATTAATAAATATATAATGTAAAATAATGAGATAAATTGTTATTGCAGAGTCCCGTTAAGTAGAGAAACTATAATATAAAGCTGACAATATTAGCTAATATGAAATCTAGTATCATACATGTTTAAATATTTATATAGTCATAATATGTGCTATAAATGTTATGTAATTCAATTCAATTCTTTATTCGTCCCCTAAGGGATTGAAGGCGCTTTTGAAGGAGCGTTCCCCAACCTTACAAACCTCTTACAATCATACTTATAACTACTCTTATCTCTACTCTTACATCTAATTTACAAATAACTTAATTCTACCTTAACCTACTTATCTACTACTTTAGAGAGAGAAAGAGCCGTCCCTACCTATCGCTTCGCTTCGGCTTCCGGTTCCCCATATATTCTCCACCACCTCATTCATACCTTCACTCATTCTCCTCCTCATACTTCCTTCCTCCTTTTCCCCTTCCCCCCTTTTTCTTCCTTTCTCCCCTCTTCCCTCTTTTTCTCTATTTCTCATCCATCCTTCCCCTTCTCCTCCTTCCTGCAATATTCCCTTCATTCTTTCCCACCAGTTTCCCTTCTCCCCTTCTCCCCCACATTCTTCTATCACATCCCATCCCATGTTTCATCTTCTATCCCGCATAACCTACATCTTCTTTTCTCCTCTTCTTCCCAGTATCTCGCCCCTCTCATCTCATTGTTCATTCTGAACCTTACTATCCTTCTCCATCTACTTTCCCCCCATCCCTCTCTCAGGTATTCCGGTAAACCCTCCTCCTTCCATTCCCCATACCATCTATTATATCTCGACTCTCTTATCCTCTCCCATCTTTCCTCCTTTTGCCTTTCCCTGTCTTTCTGTTCCCATCCCTCATATACTTCCTCTCCCCTTCCCCTTTTTTCCTCCATCTCTTTCCCTTCTATTCCTCTTTTTTCCCAGAATTTCTCCCTCTCTTCCTCCCACATCGTTCTTTCCTTTCCTACTCTTATCCTCTCTTTCATATCCTCAAAACATTTCCTCGCTAAACTTCCTCCCCTTCCTTCCTCTAACTTCCTCTCATACCCTACCGCCCTCCTTCCTGCCCTTATCCTAAATTTGTCTTTTCCTATCTCCTCTCTTACCATATACCCCGGCGTGCACCAGTCTACTCCTAACGTCCACCTAATCCATCGCTCCTGCATTGCCTCCACCTCTCTCCTCTCCTTCCATCCCCATATTTCCGCCCCATATTCCAACACCGTCCCCACCAACCTTTCCATTAGCCATACTCTTTTCATCCAGTCTCCTGCAAACCTTCTCTTTCCCATTCCCCAAACCTGTCTTATCACCGCTCCTGCTTTCCTAACTCTGTTCTTTACCTGCGCCTCCTGCCCCCCGTTCCTCTGTAGCTTATACCCTAAATATGTGAATTCTTTCACTTCCTCTAACCTTTTTCCTTTCCATCTCCACTCCACTCTCTTCATTCTTCCTCCTCCCTTTTTAAACCTCATTACCTTTGTCTTATCCACATTCACCTCTAACCTTTTCTTGTCCATATAACTTTCCATTTTCCCCAACATATGTATCATCCCTTCCTCATCCTCCGCCAACAGTACCATGTCATCTGCGTACGCCAAACAATGCACCTTTTCCCCTCCCAGTTTCACACCCCCCCCCAACCTCCTTTTCTTAGCACTTCCTCTATATCCGCTATCAGCAAACTGAATAAGTGCGGACTCATTGGGCAACCTTGCCTCACCCCCCTTGCCGTCCAAAAATTTTCTCCCTCCTCCTTCCCCACTCTTACCTTACTCCTCGTTTCCCTGTATACCTCTTCTATCCTACTCCTTAAACCCTCCCTCACTCCCCTCCTCTTCATTGCCTCCATTAACACCTCCCTATCTACCGAATCAAACGCCGCCTTCAGGTCCATAAATGCCGCGACTACCTTTCTCCCTTCTTATTTACCCTCTTATTCACCAGATAGTTCAGCACATAGATACTATCCATCACCCCCATTCCCTTCCTAAAACCTGTCTGACTCTCCGGTATCATATTCTTCCCCTCCATTTCTTCCTTTAACCTTTCCGTTAAAATCCCCACGTATATCTTGTATAGCGTTGGCATCAATGTCACTCCTCTATAGTTTTCCACTTTATTCCCCGTTCCCTTTTTCAACAGTGGCACTATTATCCCTTCTTTCCACCTCTCCGGCCATCCTTCTCCTCTCCATACTCTGTTGCACATTTCCCATACCCACTCTTCTACCCTCTCCCCTCCATATTTCCATACCTCACTCGGTATCCCATCCTCCCCCGCTGCTTTTCCTTTCTTCAGTTTTCCCAGCATCCTCTTCACTTCCTCCCTGCTTATCTCCCGCTCCTCATCCCTCTCCCTTTTTTCTTTTCCTCCTCTTACCACTTTTACCTCTATCCCTCCCAATAAGTCCATGAAGTATTCCTTCCATTCCTCCGCCTTTATCTCCTCATTCACCCCTTCTCTCTTTTTCCTTTCCCTGTTTATAATCTTCCATACCTCTCCTTCCGTTCTTGCCTCTATCGCCTCCTTGTACCATCTTAGCCTCTCCTCCTCCCTTTTTCCTTTACACATTAGCCTATATTCCGCCCTTACTTTTCTAGATTGCAAGAATTTGAATTAGTGCAGTAGAATTTATAAATTTAAAAATTTAGAAAAATTAATTGATTTATGAACTTTTTTTTAATACTTTAAGTATATGCAAAATATGACATAATTAAAATTTACTATTTATTAATATCTATTA